ATCCATCTAGAAAATGGATAACCAATGGGTAATCAATGGATAATCAATGGGTCTAACTTTTATATTTGTAAAGCCTCAAATTGGGGGTTTCTCAAGTTAGAGAGACTAAGAATTCTTCCAAAAGTGATCATTGCAAGAAGTCATGGATAATATAATTATCCATATTATCCGCCGGTTAACCCATTTTTTATCTGTATTAATATGGATCGGGTCGGATAATTGATCCATTTTTTCATTATCCGTTTTCGACCCGAACTATATCCTACTTGACCCGCCCGTTTGCCACTCCTAGGTAAGAATAAGGTAAGGGTGCACCTCGTGAAATATAGCATAGATAGAATACAAAACAATAGACACAAGGTCTATGATAATCTCCTACTTTAGTTGATTCTAATCTACTGGTGGAGTGTTATTGCACTCCTTATCTTACATTACCAGGGTCATCAAATCTCTACTTAAAGGGATCCCAATCAGGTCAGATGTCACTTTCTTGTTGTGCCATCTCAATATCCTTGGCAGCGACATCAGTACAACCTTTGATTTCTCGGCACTAGCGAAATTGCTTCGTACGCCCATGCCCACATTTTTTCATGAATCAAAAAGTATTAATTTTTGTCTGCAGTAAATAAAATAATAGTATTTACCATGAATGACCATGGGAAGCCGTACATGGCATAACTAGCCGATTTGGACTTTTTACCAGAGATTTTGCTTTCCTTCCTCTTACTCATATATGATTTGTACATTGGCAACATGTCCTTATTTAAGTACTCAATTGTAAGCTCAAAACACTCCTTTCCCCATGGATATTTCATGAAAACTTCTAGATTATTAGCCATATGAATCCACTTCTTATCGACGCGCACTATGTTATCCCATGAAAGCAAGACTGAATGGACAAACCATATCAATTCAATCTTAAACCTCTCAATTCTGTCAAACCTCTTGGACTTCAACTGTTTCAAAAGCAACTCTGCATCCACCCCTTTCCTGCTAGACTGGCAAACTTTGTCGTAGAATGTTTTGCCATCATCCATCACTTTCTTCATAGCTCCTTTACTGGGTTTGGCACCATAGTTAAATCCAGTCATCATAGCAAACTCCTTTAGTCTAAAGTGAACAGGCTTGTCTATAACTAAAAACCACTACTCGCGCTTCTTCGCGCATTAAATTTGGCAAATCAGCAAGGAATGGACAAGCTGTCCATAGAAGTGTGTCCAATGTTCTGAAAGTTTTGCAAACTGTCCAAGACAACTACTATTAAACTTTTCATCAATTTGATTATTCTAAGTTTATCATTAAACTCATGAAATACATTGATCCTAGACCTCACACTAATCTTGGCCGGGAAACGTCTATGCTTTTTTAGAAAAGTCTTGAATTTGTATGTGGATGTGTCTATCGCCCTTACAAACACAGGAATTGACAGAGCATCCTGGTTACCTTTAACTAATGCATGTGTTTCACTTTCCAGTTCATCTTTACCATCGTCAAATTGTTCATCATCATCTTCTTCTGCTACTTCTTCTTCTTCTTCTTATGCTACATCTTCTTCTTCTGCTACATCTTCTTATTTTTCTTCTTCAGCATCTTTAAACCTCACACTAATCTTGGTCGGGGAACATCTATGTTTTTTTAGAAAAGTCCTAAATTTGTATGTGGATGTGTCGATCGCCCTTACAAACACAGGAAATGACAGAGCATCCGGGTCACCTTCAACTACTGCATGTGTTTCACTTTCCAATCCATCTTTACCATCATCAAATTGTTCATTATCATCATCTACTTCTTCTTCTGCTACATCTTCTTATTTTTCTTCTTCAACATCTTTATCAACCTCCTTAGCAGCATCATCACCATTTTCATGATCCTCCCCACCTAAAGCTTCATCATCACTGTCCTTTTCTTCTTTGACAATTGTTTTTTCAAAAACCTATTCTTCCATTTGAGTTAGTGCTGCATTTATTAAAGTTTTGATTTAAATTGTTAAAAATGGTTAAGATATTAGTTAACATTTCTTTTCTAGCAAGTGAAATGATAGGCTCCATCACGGCCCAGAGGTTGGGATTCCCGGTCATGACAAGTTGGTATCAGAGCACTAGATTGCCTAGGTCGCATGAGTCATGAGCAAGCTTAGTAGAGTTTGGAGGTTCGGTATGGAGATGTCTGTACTTATCTTCAAAAGGCTATAGGGCTTTAGGAAAATTTCACTTCTTTCATTCTTTATCGTGCGACTTTATTCCATTACTGAAGTTTGAACCATTCTATTATTATTCTCTCGCAAATGGTGAGTACATGCACATAATCTATAGTCGAGCCTCCTATTGCAGCCACTACCGGGGGTAGGGGCCGAGAACGAGGTAGGGGTCGAGGAAGAGGCAGAGCTCAGCCTAGTGCACGTGCAGCAGAACCCATTGTAGAGCCTCAAATTGATCATGGGTAGAAGATCCCAATTCAGACCGTACTAGTCGGACTCGCTCAGTTCTCGAAGGAATTCATTACTACTCCCGTGCTTCAGGATGGTCTAGTCTGTTTGGTGGGTCTTATGGAGAGCGTGGCCCAAGCTGGAGTATTTCCTGTGGCACCAACCGTATTTCAAGCTGGGGGAGGAGCTTAGACTACCGCCACTCACACCCGGGAGCAGATGGCTCCCTTGTACCAGACTTCGGCGGTCCCAGCAGTTGGGGTAGTTCAGCCCATTATTGCTACGCAGATTGGGGAGAGGCCTGCGATGTCTTTTGAGGGATTGATGAGATTGGATAAGTTCACAAAGCTCTTTCATATTCAATTTAGTGGTACACCTTCTGAGGACCCACATGATTATTTGGATTGTTGCAACGAGGTCTTGCGCAACATGGGTATCGTGGAGTCTAATGGAGTCGACTTTGTAGTATTTCAGATGACTGGTTCTGACAAGAGGTGGTGGCAGGATTATGAGCAGAGCAGACCAACAAGTTCACCGCCACTCACTTAGGACTAGTTTTCACAGCTATTTCTGGAGAAGTTCATTCCTTTTACTCTAAGGGAGGAGTAACACATGCAGTTCGAGCGTCTTCAGCAGGGTAGTATAAATGTTACCTAGTACAAGACCAGATTTGTAGATATAGCCCGCCATGCAACTATCTTTATTCCTACTAAGAGAGGGTGAGGAGATTCAATGAGGGTCTTACTTTTGGTATCAGGCTACAGATGGCCACAGAGACTGGGGATGATAATCCTTTCTAGAGGGTCGTAGAGATTGCTAGATGGATTGGGATGATTCGTGGTCAGGGTAGAGAGGTGGTATTTGAGAAGCGGCCTCGTCATTTTGGTGGTTTCAGTGGTGCCTTATCTGGAGGCAAAGGTTTATTTGGTAGAGGCCATCCCCACGGGCCGATTCAGTTAGCTCTTCAGGTAGCCCGCAGTACTTCGGGTAGTTATGGTTCTTATAGGTCTCGTCCTGAGCAGCCAACATTTGGTACACCTTCAGTAACTATCAGTGCACCACTGCTACAGTGGTTATCTGGGTCGTTAGGGTCAGTCCTAGCTTCAGCAGCCACAGCAGCCGAGAAAGTGCTTTGAGTGCAGAGGTACGAGCCACAACAGGAGGTGTTGCCCTAGATTGATTAGCAGCAGACCTCAGCAGGGTTCTCATGCCATGGTTCCGGCACTAGTTGCTTCACCGCCCGCTCATCCAGCTAGAGGCGGGGGTTAAGTTGCTAGAGGTGGAGGTCAGGCCATTAGCGATGGAGGCCAGCTAGCTAGAGGTCGTCCGAGGGATGGAGGTTAGAGTGGTGGGGCCCAACCCCATTTTAATGCATTTCCAGCTAGACCTGAGGCAGAGTCATATGATGTCGTCATCATAGGGATTGTTCCGCTTTGCCATAAAGATGCCTCAGTTTTATTTTATCGGGGCTCTACTTATTCATACGTGTTGTCCTATTTTGTTTCATATATGGTTATGCCTCGTGATTCTTTGAGTGCTCTTGACTATGTGTCCACACCTGTGAGAGATTCTATTGTAGTAGATCGTGTTTATCGCTCTTTAAGACTAGGGTAGATCTTTTACTTCTTGATATGGTGGACTTTGATGTTATCTTGGGCATGGATTGGTTGTCGCCTTATCATACTATTTTGGACTGTCATGCCAAGACTGTGACATTAGCCATGTCGGGGTTGTCTTGATTGTAGTGGAGAGGGACTCCTGGTCATTCTACAAGAAGAGTTATTTCTTATGTGAAAACTCGACGTATGTTCGAGAAGAGGTGTCTAGCATATTTGGCCTATATACGTGATCCTAGTGCGGAGGTTCCTTCCATGGATTCAGTACTATTTGTGTGCGAGTTTCCAGAGGTGTTTCCTACAGATTTGGTAGGGATGCCACCCAACAGAGATATCAACTTCTGTATTGACTTAGCTCCGAGCACTCAGCCCATTTCTATTCCATCATACTGTATGGCCCCAGCTGAGTTGAAGGAACTAAAGGAGCAATTGCAAGATTTGCTTGATAAGGGGTTCATTAGACCTATTATTACTAGAAAATAGTCCTACGGCAACAGTTCAAATACCGTTGCAATATATTGCAAAACCGTTGCAATAGGTCTATTGTAACGATTTTGGGGACGTTCCATCTGATCCCGTGCAATAGGATTATTGGAATGGTTTCTTGTAACGGGTGCAAAACTGTTGCCATATGGCTATTTATTGCGACGGTTTTGAAGCGTTGCCATTTGCCTAGCTGTTGCAACGGTTATCTAGTTATATACAACGGTTAAAAACCGTTGCAATATCATTTCATGCAACGATTTTTAAGTTGTTCCTACGGTTAATAAGATCTGTTGTGACGGTTATCAGGAGCTATTGCAACGGTTGGCATGAGCTATCACAACGGTTATTAAGAGCTATCGCAACAGTTTTGAGGCTATCACAACGGTTATAAAAGCTATCGCAACAGTTTTTTGAGGCTATTGCAACTTTCCGGTGGTCTATTACAATAATAATTTGCCTATATAAGAATGAAATTATAATTCTAAACATCCAACTAGTATTACCATATGTGAAAACAAAATATACAATATCGTTTGACAATTCAAGAGTTACCATACATAAGTTTGCAAAAGTTCGATAATAAAGGATTTCTAGAATATCTAAAGGTCTAGCAACTTTCATTCAATACTCTTAAGTAGATCTTCACTGCTTTTATCTACCATTTGTTTAATTGCTTCAACTGCAAAATCATCAAAATAATCTTATCAAATTTGGTTACATAGAATTGACTAAAAATCACAAAGTTGAATGCTAAAATACAAATCAGTAAGGTTCTGGATAACCATTGCTCTTATAGAATAGGATTATAGTTTAAGTACTCATCCAACCAATATTTTTCTGGAGTAGCAAAACAAATTCATTATGAAAGAATGCTAGATGTATAAATCCACCAAAGCATAAGTCATTCACCTGTAATGGTTCAAGGTTTTTCACCTAAAAAGGTACCAACAAGAAACTCCATTTCTCAATATAATTTACCTTTTCACTTCAAAATGTAATGATCTAAATGTTGAACTACTAACAATCCAAAATTGAAACTTCAACAAAGTTGAATGCCCAACCAGAACAAAAAAAAAACATAAAGGTAGAAACTATAGTTGTGACATCAAGAAAAAGAGTCCTCTGTAGGAAGAACTATCCAGATCAGCAAAAAAAGAAAAGAAAGGCCATTTGAAAGTGAGGCATTTTCCAGCCTCTAGTTTCTACTGGATTTCAATTGTATATGCAAAATGCAAGTCACAACGGATATCCCTATTGAATAAAAGAAATAAATAACCCCATAACAAGTAAATAACGAGATAAAATAGTCTCGTAAATGAAACAAATATATTGATCAGTACATAAAGCAAACAAGAGACAAGAAGAGCTTATTGGAGTAGAAAGTCTCAACCTCTAAAGATTGATAGTCTTAACTTGCAGAATCAGTACCACATTTTTGGTCTACTTGTTTCTTATCAGCCTCAAAATTTTCTTTGATTGCTACAAAGTAAATCATTGGCTCGATTAAGCTAAGATAATAGATTAATTACAAAAGAGAAATCTAGAAGCGTACCGTTGGACAGAACGCAAAAAGGAAGAACAAGGGATATCTAAAAGCAGGAAGAGCATAGAGAAACAAGGTTAGAGAACATCCACAACCCCAAAATTTCCAAAAATTCGGAAAGGCAAACCTGCTAGTGCGCGACTGGACAAAGCCTCTCGAGTATCATTCAAATAGTAGAACCTAGAATTTGTATGTGGACAATTTGGGTGAAAGAAACTCTATACTAATCTAAAATGAGAACATAATTCTGCAGCTCAGACATGTTATAAACTGAAAATAGAGGCACAATTTTTTCCAATAATAACAGCGTTTAGCAGATATAAGAAAAGACAATAGCTAACGCTCCAGTAGGTATTCTAAAAACTCTAGGTTTACAATTTCCAAATGGTTACACATTCAAATTTCTGGAAAAAAATAACATGAGGCAGTAGCTACCATAACAATGCACAAGGAAGATAAAAGGCAGGAAAGTTAGTTAAGTGTCTATGACAGTACCATGGCATCCAAACTAACCAAGAGGACATTCTCAATGCAGCAAAAAATAACATGGTTGACACTCTGCACGTTGCTGTAGATGCGCAAAGAATGTAATGGTCATCTTTCTTTAGAAGAAGATAATCGGAAAAAATTTCTAAAGAAAGTATATCCTAAACCCCATATTACCTTATCCCTGTTGAAGAAGTTACAACAAACTTAAGTTGAAATAGAAAAGAAGTAAAAGAGGTAGAGAGAACAAACAGTACAAAACGAGAACACATTGGACACCTTATGCACATGAGAAAACTGTAATGCACTGCTAATGACTCAACCAATTCCCACTATTGCATCCACTTGCTTTGCATCTTATGAGGCATGTCGCATGAAATGGAAATGTTTTGTTGATGACATTTCGCCTGTAGTTGATTCATCGAACATGTATCAAGAAATCAACTCGGTTAAGCATGACACATTGATACTGCAAATACATTTTTAAAAAAATATTTATCTATGTTTATGGAAGTGAAGTAGCAAGGAGCACAGTCCACCTAGATCTCCTACTGATTATATTTTACTTTTGTTATCTCTTTCTTATTATCTTAAGATTTTCAAACTTGTGCACAACAATGTAAACATTATCAACTGAATAAGCTCATCATCCTCCCTTTACCGTAGGGTTACATTTGTTATCTTATTAAAAAGTTTAATGCATTTCTGCAATAAAATATTCTGTCGTTAATTCTGCATTCTTAGAATTTACTCCTTAATTTCCAAGTTCACTCAAATGGTTGGAGCTTTATTGTCGTTCATTGCAGCCAAACTAAAATTTCTTTTCTCAAATATTTTTTTAAATCCAAACTTGTAGTCTCAGTCATTTCAAATCCATATTTTCTGTTTTGTCAAATTGGATTCCGTATACAGGAAATTTAAATTACTCATGGACGCACGAGCAAATTAATGGAACAAACACTAATCTTTTCCTTAAAAAATAGAGCAACATTGGCACAAACACAAATAATAGAATGGACAAGCAGATAACCAACACAATAAAAAAGAGAGAAAAACACATATATACCTACACAAAAATATACACTCACATCAACAGGGATATAAAATTCCAAACCCTAACTACAAGAGAGAGACATAAATTAGAAGATTGAAAATCATCTCCAGAAACTTTCAACACATATATAAATTCAAAATCCTAACTTCAAAAATATATACAAAAATTTCAACAAACAATCATTCACAAGACAAGAAATTAGATATACCTCAAAAAGGTTGAAAATCAAGAAAGAAGGAAAGATCTGGCTCTGGGTTCTCTTCCTTCCGATTCAGGCTACTGACAAAGAAAGTTGAAGAAGGAACACAGTTAAAACTTTAAGCATTAGAGTTCAGAGATTCCTTTGCCTTATTCTGGCCTTTGAACATCAGACTCGAGAGCTTCCTTTCTCTGTTTTGCAAAGATAAATCGTTCCGATTTCTAATAGATCTATTGAGATTTTTAGGGTTTATCTCAGAGTCCCCACTCTGTAGAGCTTCGATGTTTTAGAAATATGAGCACATGTGTTCAGCATTTTAGTAAAAGAAAAAGAACTAAAATTATAATAATAAAAAAAGAATAATGAAAACCGCTTAAAACGAGGTTGCATTTTCGAGAAATAAAGAGAGGGAAAATGAAAACCGTCCGAGTAGATTTTTTTTTTTTCCAAAGAACCGTTGCCGTACAATAATATATTGCAACGTTTATCTTAACCGTTGTGACAAGTACGGGGTCGTTTGGTAGGAGTTATTAGAAAAAATAATGCAAGCATTAGTTCTATGCATTATTAATACCTTGTTTGGTACTTTTTTTAACTTGTGTATAACTAATATCATACTTGACATTATCATATGCATAAGTAATGCATAGAAAACTATGACATTAGTAATACCAAGGCTTTAATGCATGCATTAGCATGGTTAAACACAAAATTGTCCTTAAAGACCCTTAAAGCTAGAGAATATGGAGGACATTTTTGTAAGCAACTATTTTTTTTAAAAATTATGCAATGCATTATAATTTTAATACACCACACCAAACAATAGATAAGAAATAATATTTGCATAGCTAATGCTTGCATTACTAATACATGCATTACTAATACACATTATTCCGCACTATTCTTATACACCCTACCAAACGACCCCACGTCTATAGCAACGTTATCCCCTAATGCAACGGTTTTCTTGCAAAAGTGTTTCAATAAGGTCATAATTCTATCGCAACGGTTGTAACTGTTGCAAAAGAATGGCTATGGCAACGGTTATACAACCGTTGCCGGAAAAAGCGTTGCCATAGGTCCAGTTTCCGGTAGTGATTGTCTCACCATGGGGTGCACCAGTATTGTTCATGAAGAAGAATGGTCCGATGAGGATGTGTGTAGATTATCGGCAGTTGAACAAGGTCACTATCAAGAACAAGTATTCGTTGTCAAGTGTTGATGACCTATTTGATCAGCTTCAGGGTGCCAAAGTGTTTTTGAAGATTGGATCTGGCTGCCATCAGTTGAAAATTAGGGCATCAGATGTCTCTAAGACAGCTTTTCGGACTCGGTATGGTCACTATGAGTTCTTAGTGATGTCATTTGGCTTGACAAATGCCTAGCAACATTTATGAATTTGATGATCCAGGTGATATTGGGCATATTTTCATATGTTTCGATATTAATTTACTTGCATTTTTACCGCTTTTTGGTTATATTTGATATTGAATACACCCAACTTAGTTTGATTATAAAGTTTTATACTTATTTGGGTGTTAATGAATAATGTAGGTACATTGGAGATGAATTTTGAACAAAATGATGAATTTGGAGTATATAGTAAATAAATATTTAATAGAGTCTTTAAGTTGAAGACCAAAGTCATTCACTGTGGAGGAAATCAAGTGCAATAAAGAATGAAAGTATTTTGATGGTATCTTGGATGATGTAACGAGACTTGATTATGTGGCATTGGAGTTCAGTTGAGATCTTCCAATTAAATTGAAGCAGCAAACTGAATAAGACATTGGAAAAGAAAGGTTAGGGAAAAGTCACTTTGGAGGAAAGTAAATTGGCAGTAGAAATTGAAATTGCAAAAACGCTACTGTGTTGTGCGCTAGGGCCAGCGCGAGGCGCTGCCCTAGACGCTTGAAGCGGAAATTTTCCTATTTCATCTGGGACAATGTTATTTCAGCCCTACACGATCCCAACTCATATAACAGGGATCCTAAACCTAATTTGGAGAGGAGGACGTTTTTTAGAGAAAACACAAGAATAGAGCCGCCGTGGAGGCCGGAATTCATCAAGTTCCATCTTTTCTTTCATCAAACTTAGCAATTTTTATGGTTCTTTGTACGATTTGTTGTTTTGCTACCATGTCTATGTGGAGCTAAACTTCACGTTCTAGGGTTGTGGTTCTTTCATGAATATTGTTATTCAGATATTGATTTTGATTTCTTAGTTTATCATATTGGTTTATTTATTCAATCCTGCACTTAATTATTTGATTGTTTGATCATCAATTGAATACTATCTACGAATCTAGAGTTGAACTCGAAAGTGGGAATTCTAGATTGCATATAGGATTGAGTAGAGCAAGTTCTTGAACCTGGGCATCAGGGAACGTATTCGCAGTTAGGATAGACATATACCTAATTGCCTTGCTTGGTTGATTTACAGGAATTATAAATGCGTTCTTGTTGATTCTAACTCCATAGACATATAGGCGTTAGGTTAGCTTGAATAGGTGAGTAAGAACTCGACAGATTCTTATGAGCAATATTAACCCTGTTAACCAATAAACTGGATAAATTAGTTAGTCAATTCAATTGAAAAATACAATAGGAATGTTAGATAGCCCATGACCCTAGATCGTTTTCATTACATTGATATCATAAAAATCTGCTCTTTCTCTGTTCAAAGTTCATTATTTATGTTTCTTTATTTAATTAGTTTAGAATCAAATACTTCTAGGTTTAATTCTTGTTTAGATAATTAGGATCGTCTAATTTGGTTAATAGTTAATTACAAGTCCTCGTGGGTTCGACATCCGACTTTTAGTCACTTTATTACTTGATGACCGCGTATACTTGAGTGTGCGTTTGGCCGCAACACCAGGAGTTCAAGCCCCATTTGGATACTTTTGTGATCATCTTCATTGATTATATTTTGGTCTACTCCCGCAGTCGAGAGGAGCATGAACAACATCTTCGGATCATACTTCAGACTCTAGATATAGTCATTTATATGCCAAGTTTCAAAATGTGAGTTTTGGTTAGACTCGGTTGCCTTTTTGGGCCATGATGTATCTTCCTAGGGAATTAAAGTGGATCTTAAGAAGATTAAGGCAGTTCAGAACTGGCCTAGACCTACTTCAGCAACAGAGAGTCGGAGCTTCTTGGGTTTGCCTAGTTATTATAGACGGTTCATGGAAGTGTTTTCATCTATCTCAGTCCCATTGACCAAGTTTACCAAGAAGGGTTCTCTTTTCAGATGATCTGACGAGTGTGAGTTGAGCTTTTAGAAGCTCAAGACTGCTTTGACTACAGCCCCGGTGTTGGTGTTGCCTACAAATTCGAGATATTACACCATGCATTGTGATGTATTGCATATTGGGTTTGGTGCAGTTTTAATGTAGGATGGTAGGGTGATTGCTTATGTGTCTCGATAGTTGAAGATTCAAGAGAATAATTACCTTGTTAATGACTTAGAATTGGAAGCCATTGTTCACGCGCTAAAGATTTGAAGGCACTATCTATACAAAGTTCAATGTGAGTTCGATATCGACCATCAGAGTCTCCAGCACCTATTGAAGCAGAAAGACCTTAATTTGCAGCAACAGAGATAGTTAGAGTTGCTGAAAGACTATGATATCATCATATTGTATCATCTGAGGAAGGCCAACGTGGTGGTCGATGCCTTGAGTAGAAAGGCATAGAGAATGGGCAGTTTGGCATACTTACTGGTAGCAGAGATGCCACTAGCCATGGATGTTCAGGCCTTGGCCAACCAGTTTGTGAGATTGGATGTTTCGAAGCCCAGTCGGGTGCTAGCTTGTGTGGTGGCACAGTCTTCGTTATTGGAGGGTATTAAGGCTCGTCAGTATGATGATCCTCACTTGTTGATGTTGAAGGATACGGTGCAGTCGGGTGGTGCCAAGGATGTTGTGATTGGTGATGATGGTGTTATGCAGCTTTAAGGCCGGATTTGTGTTACAAATGTTGATGGGTTGAGAGATTTGATCCTTAAAGAGTCGCATAACTCACACTATTCAATTCACCCAGGTGTCACGAAGATGTACGGTAACTTGAAATAGCATTATTAGTGGCGAAGAATACAGAAAGACATTGTTGCTTATGTATCTCGGTGTTTGAATTATCAACAGTTGAAGTATGAACAACAGAAATCGGGTAGGTTGACTCAGAAATTGGAGACGCCGAAGTGGAAGTGGGAACCTATCACTATGGATTTTGTGGTAGGCTTGCCACAAACCTTGAAGAAATATGACGCAGTCTGGGTTATTGCGGATCGGTTGAGTAAGTCCACGCACTTCATTCTGGTGGTGACTTCGTATTCTACGGAATGGAAGAGATTATTCGCCTGCACGACGTGCCCATTTCCATCATATCTTATCAAGGCACACAGTTCACATTGTTTTTTGGGAGGGTCGTACAACGTAAGTTGGGCACACAGGTTTAGCTGAGCACAACGTTTCATCCTCAGACGGACATACAGTCTGAACGCACTATTCAGATCTTGGAGGTTATGTTATGTGCTTGTGTTTTGGATTTTGGAGGTTCATGGGACTAGTTCTTACCTCTTACAGAGTTTGCCTACAATAACAGTTACCCGTCGAGTATTTATATGGCGTCATATTAGGCCTTATATGGTAGGGGATGTCGTTCGCCGATTGGTTGGTTTGAGCCTGGAGAGACGCTAGGTTGTTAGGCACCAATTTAGTCTGTGATGTTATGGAGAAGGTTAAGTTGATTTAGGATCGCCGCCTACAACACAGTCTAGGCAGAAGAGTTATGTTGATCGGAAGGTTCAGGATGTAGCTTATATGTGGAAGAGAGTGTTTTGCTTAGATTTTCATCCATGAAGGGTGTGATGAGGTTCTGGAAGAAGGGCAAGTTGAGCCCTAGGTATATTGGTCCTTTTGTGTTCCTTGTGAGAGTTGGTAAGGTGGCCTACAGACTCACATTACCACCCAACCTATCGGGAGTACATCTGGTATTCCATTTTTCCATGCTTTAGAAGTACCATGAGGACATCTCGCATGTTTTGGACTTCAGCATGGTTAAGCTTGATGAGAATTTAGCCTATGAGGAGGAGATGGTGGCTATTCTAGCCCGGTAGGTCCGGAAGTTAAGGTCTAAGAGTTTTCCTTCTGTAAAAGTGCAGTGAAGAGGTCAGCCGATCGAGGTAGCTACTTGGGAGTCCGAGTCCGATATGCGGAGTAGATACTTACACCTTTTCACCAGCCCAAGTACTTTTCTATATCTGTTTGAGGACGAGCGGTTCTTTTAGAGGTAGAGAATGTGATGAATCAGTAGG